TGGCACTTCCAGATGTTCAAAAATAACCCGAGGCATATTGAAGTAATTTAAGAATTTAGTTGAGCAAAGATCCATTCAAGCAGAGTAGCACCAAACCGGAAGTGGTTACCTCAACAAAGAGGGGGCAGGGTGGGGTGGGGTGCGAAGCAAGTACATGAAAACGAAGCCAGCACCAGCTACCCCTGGGTGTTTGTCTTGGTTGGGAAAGCCTAGGGGCTGTGATGGGTTGTGCTTAAGTTTTCATTTCTTAACCTTGAGACACTTACAGCTTTTGGTTTGTTTACAAAACTTATGGAGAACTTAAAATCACCTCAGTCGGTTTAACACAGGTTTAGTAATCAGGTATGTGGGTACATTTTTAACAACTAGCTCAGGATGTGGGGCTGGGCAGCCGGCTGGCACTGCTTGCCAGTCTCCCTCGTGTAAATACTCCCGCTTTGGCTGATTCCAAGCTCCACTTGTTACAGGGCAGGGAGAGGGGCACCCCCGAACCCCAACTGGCTGCTCTAAATAGGTTCTGCCAACCGCCGCATCAAGACAAAACATGTAAGTCTTTAATGAAAAGGAACTTTAATACAGTGAGTATACAACACGGAAGACAAAGAATATAATACCTAAAGCAAACACCTGAAGTGACCGGTCCCCTCGTGGGCCAAAGCCCACCCAGAAGGGACTGGCCCAGAGCAAGGCCTGAGAGCTGCCACGGTCTAAAGCACCTTCTGGCCGGGACCCATGGGAAAGGGCCAGACAGGGCCAGACACGTCTGGGAGGAAAAGAGCGACATCAAAATCAGTAAAGCACTGCCCTAGTCGCCTCCCCGCGGGTCTCTCACCCACATGGCTTCCAGCCAGTGGGGCAGGAACCAGCGCGATTCCTCACCTGGCCCCCTTTGCCCCAGGTGGCGTCCTCAGGTCAACTCTGGCTCCCCACCCTGCTGCCTTCTTCTCTTCAGATTCCGTCCCCTCTCTCTTTTTTCTCTGCTCAGCTCCAGGGAACCTGGAACGTCCCCTTTTTCTGGGGACCTCTGTTACATGCTCACTGCAGGAGGAGAGGGAAGGGCTGCTGACTGTTCATGGCCAGAGGGCGATGGGATCTGTGGATTTGGAATTCTGGAGCCTCCCTGGTGAGGACTGATAAGTGAGCAAGAGTCAAGTTGAAATTCTGAGATTAGAGAGATTTCCTGCAGAGATTGCAGAGCAGAAGGAAGCCACCCTCCCCCAACCCCCACGGGAAGATTGTGTTCCTGGGCACGGTCTCCTCACCAGTAGCATCAGCTGCATCAGGGAGTGATGCCTGGCCCCTCCCGGAAGTGGATGGAATCATTGGTGGAGGGTGGGGCCAATTCTCTGTATTGTTGCGGGTCAGGAAGACCTGTTTGAACCAGTTTGAAGAGGGTCACCAAAGTAGGCCAGCGAGTTCGGGAGCCTGGGGCTGAGTGCAGAGAGTGGCATCTCCCAGCCAAGGATGGAGAGAGTGTCTGGAGAAAGGCAAGTGACCGGCAGACAAGAGTTGCAAGGTCAAGTCAGATTAGAGCAACTGTGAGTATTGGCTCTACTTGCTGCTGTGGATTTCTGTGTTCTTGTGACGAGCAGTGTCCTGGGGTTGGAACGTGGGGGAAACTGGCGAGGAGTAAGTTGACCTTTGGCTGTAAAGGCCAGCGGGCAACTATAGGAGTTGGTGGTCAATAGTGGGGGTTTCTGGAAAAGGCCTGGATTCGTTACAGACTGAGAGGAAGTCAGTAGAATTTGGGAGGATCGTGAGTCTGCAAGAAGAAGGTGGAGTCATTGGTGATGTAAGTTGAAGAAAAGAGGAGAGGGAGTTAGAATTTGGGGTAAAGCTTGGCCTTGAAGGAGTTACTTGAGGAGGTCTGACTGTTACTGTCTTTGGAGACTGGCAGGAGGGTGGGGTGGGAGAGGTTTTAGAAAAGAGGAACAGAAGATGTGACCACTGTCTAGTGGCTGCTTCTCAGTTGTCTTTTGATTGCTTTTTGCGACCTCCTCAGCCCCCATTTTCCTTCAGGCTGAAGCTGTGGCAGAAATGTCTGAAATACTGTGTTTGTGCGGCCAGTGAACTCACAGTAACGTCTGTATTCTGTTGCATTTAGGCCAGTGTTGGCAGCATATGGGGTCCGCTGTCTGGGCTCCAGCCGATGGACAGGCAGACAGGCAGACAACCTGGTGCCACTGGGTGTTCCCAGACGGCATCTAACTTTGCTGGGGCCTGGTGTCTGCACCTAAGAGTCAGGGGTGTGTTTCAGGGACTCCCCGTGTCTGTATGCTGTGAGTCCTTAAGTTGGAGTGCCCTGTAGATTGTAGGTCACCCATGATGTGAGGACCCTTGATAACTTTGACCCCCAAGGAGTCTCGAGGTGGGGAGAGAGCCACCATCGTGCTGTGCTTCTCCCCAACTTGTGGTGAATTTCAGAAATTACCACAGATAATACCTAAAGGGGATGCCATGGTCGAGCAAGTCATTTATAAAGGCATGAAGGATTGCTCAAAAGGAAGTATTTTAGTCAATATTTCACAATAATAATGGATCATTTAACTCCACAACACTCATCAGGTCATTGGTTTTTAGACATGACGGGCAGGTTTCAGGGTTTTGTTGGGTTTCAATGGCAGCAGCATTCAGGTTGTCACACTAGTAAAACACAATATAAAACTAATGGGCTAGAAATGTCAGAAACTAACAGCATTATCATCTTCTGTTATTGATAACATTCAAGTGCTGAAGTAGCCTCAGATGGAGGGCTGATAGGCTCACTGTGCCTGGCTTATTAGACCCGCCCCTGCCTGATCTTCAGAACTCTGCTCTTGACTGTTCTCCTTCAAGGTCAATGACAGTGAGTTATGCTCTGGGGTATCTGCCCCCTCTTAACCTTAAACAGTGCTTGAGATATTAAAACAGTGGTTGAAGTGGCGTCAGACATGTGCCACAGAATAGCTTCTGCGGCCCAAAGAGCAGATACATAGGTTTGGGATTTTTTTTTTAAAGATTTATTTATTCATTTACACAGAACTGGGGTACAGGCCAGAGATGCGGAGAGTGAGAGGATTCACCAGAGACAGAGCGGGGATCAGAACAGGCAGATCAATGCAGTACACTGCTGAGGGGAGCAGCGGGCGGGTCAGGAGAGGTCAGCCACGCCATGTGGATCTCCTCAGGGGCAGGTGGGAACGAACTCATGTGGAAGTGGCTTTAGCTTCTTAGTGCAGTGCTTTAACCCGCTGCGCCACCAGGGAGGGCCCGGTTTGGGATTTTTTTTGAAGACTTATTTGTTTTTGTGTAGAAGAGCTGGGGTGCAGGTCATAGATGTGGGGGTAAGAGTGTTACAGGACAGGGAGAGGGGCACCCGAACCCCCAAACCTGCCTGCTCTAAATAGGCTCTGCCATCTGCTGCATCAAGACAAGACTTAAGAGCTTTCATGGAAAGGAACTTTAATAGAATGAGGTGCAATACAGAAAAGACAAAGAATAGAGTTTCAAAATCAAACACTCAAAGTAACCTGCCCTCTCATGGGTAAAAGTCTACCCAAAAGGGATTGGCACAAAGCAAGGCCTGAAAGCCCTCCACAAGCCCAAAGAACCTTTTCACCAGGACCCATAGAAAAGGGTCAGAAATGGCCAGACAAATGTGGGAGGAAAAGAAAAAAATCAAAATCAATATATAAGCTGCCATAGTCACCTCCTCACGGGTCTCTCACCCACGGTCCAGGGCCAAGTAACAAGCACAGTTTCTTCACATGCCTCCCTTTGCTCTATGTGGCTTCCTCAGGGCTCCTCTGGCTCTCCATCCTGCTTCCTTCTTCTCTTCTTATCTCTGCTCAGCCCCACCCTCCTTTTGGGTGGGGCAGGGAACCTGGAACTTTTCCTTTTCCTGGGGACATCCCCCCCCCCACAAGAGGATGCACCAGAGGCAGAGTGGGGAGTGGAATAGGCATCTCTATTGCCCCCCTGTGGAAGGGGGGCAGTGGCGGACCAGAAAGGGGAAGCTACACCACGTGGGTCACTCCCTGGCCAGGGACCGAACCGAGGCCCTAGCTAGCAGTGATAGTGCTGAGACTTAGCCCCGGGGCCACCGGGGAGGCCCTGCTTGGATTTGCCTTGACTCAATTTCTGATTGCACTTGGAGTCCCTTGACACGTGTTTATATCGAATGTGCATTGAACACAACCTCTTGGTATGAGCGGCTGTAACGGGACGTTGGGACACGCACATCTTGAAGTACGCTGTTCCTAGACACTAGGTCCTGCTTCCTGCTTTACTTCATGTTCCCAACTGGGAGAAAAAAATGGCTTCCAGTTTCTTCTGCGAAAATTTCAGGGCATGTTCCTCAAGGGAGCTCAGTTATATTTCTCCTAGCTTTTTGGAAAGCAAGAATTGATTTTGGCCTTGCTCCTAGAAGCTGCAGCAGCGAGGGGACCAGTGACAGACTCCTCCCCGCAGATGAGCCAAGCTGTAAAAACTTATCGGCGCCAGCTGGGTCGTGTGCCAATGTCAGGCCGCTCCTGGTGACAGGGAAGTCCCCCTGAAGAGCCCAAGTTGCCCAGGGGAACTTATGTGCATATTTATTTTGAGTTGAGCAATCTAGATGACTCAAAGAATTTCTTGCAAAACAGTATCCCTCAAAACACAATTGTTTATTAGCTTTTTTTTTTTTGAGTAAGGGATCTTTGTGCCGAGTGGCTTGGCTCCTCAGAACAAAGGATCTTCTCAGCTCTGCCTATACTCCCCATTCTGCTGTTGGCCTGTAGCTCCCTGTGAGTGAGGAGATCTGATAGCTGGGCTGAAGTTCCAGGCGCCTCGTGACCACTCCGCCCTTGGGGGGAGGGGGGGGCTGGGCAATGCCAGCGAGGAAGGGAAGAGACGGGAGGCGGGCTTAGGTGAAGTCATCCCAATAAAGGTTAATGACTGGGTGGTGACACCTTCTCACACGACCGGAGAGAAAATGCTGGCAGCCCAGGCTCCCTGCTGCCTGGCCCGGTCCTGGGAGGAAGAGGTGACCTAGTTATTTTTAGAAGGGGGCAGTCATAATAAACCAGCTCTTAGCTTCATTCAAGGCAGGAGGTGCTTTGGAAGTTTGTAAACACCTACTTTCTGAGTAAGGGGAGGAGAGCTTTTCCCCCAAAAGTAAAGAACTTGACTCCTGGGTTTTTTCCTTCCTGAGAGTCCTCCTCAGCCTCCAGAAGAAACCAGGGTGCCTCACAGCCTTCTCCACTGCTTTATTATTCTTTTGAAAGGGTAGAAATGCCTGAAGGTGACGACTGTGGACCTGGCAAAAGGTAATTGTGGTATAATTTATTTTTTCTCGAGCCTGCCGTGTATGCTAGCTACTCTAAACATGTTAGGGCTGCTTTTAAAAATAATGTGAATTAAGATGTTGAAGTTAGTTAGGAAAGACAGTGCCTTCATCCCGGAAACTGGGTTGTCTTTAGCATGAAGCGACCGATGGGAAATTGACTTAACAAGCTCTTCGAAACATATGCAAGAGTTTTTTTTCTTGAGTAAGGAAGTCATGGTCTGAAATTTTTAAATAGTGTATTCGACGTCTACTTGAGTTTTTGAATGTTTGGTTTTAAACTTTAGATGATAGTTGATGGAGTCTGAGCTAGTGAGTGCCTTGTAAAATGTTTGCTTTTTACACATTGAGCAGGTCTACAGGTTAACAATTGGAGCAGTGTACCCATTTTGATATTGCAGAACTTTCTTTTACCATAGTTATGCATTGATTGTGTAAATGTTTTGCATGCTGGCTCTGGAAGGGGAGGATTGTCAGGGGAGGAAGCAGACGATGAATTCCTATTAAAGGAAAGTCAGTTTGAAAGCCTCCTTTTCCAGCTCCATGGCTGTGTGAACAAAATTTGTTTGAATCAGGTGTTTTCTGTGGAATTTTACTTAGGGTCAGTGAAACTCAGATGTGAAGTAGAGAAAGCTGTTAGGAAAGGGAAAGTGTCATTGACAATTTTATTGTCAGTGGGAGCAGTCACCCACTAGATATTGTACTTCCCTGACATATTTTGTTCTGGAATCAGCCCTGTGGACTGGGGGGCTGGTCACTGTAATCAGTTGCAATAGACATTAAAAGCTACTTTCACTTTACTTTGCTAGTGTTTATTTTCTTCCAAATTCCTTCCCATTCCATCAAAGGGGATTAAGTTGGTGTTTAGTTGAATAAGGAAATGACTTTCTTCAGGAAATCCAGTACTCAAAGATGACAACTCATAAAAGTACCTAGTGATATAACAAAAACATTTTCAGTGAAACTGAAATGTGGCTTTTGGATTGAGATGGGTTGATGCAGGGTTGTATGTCACCCCCTCCACCCATGGTGGTGTTTTAACATGTCCAAAAGCAGGAATTAGGCTTTTTCTTTCTGTACTTTGGCATTCTCCCAATTCTACATAGCATTTTGCACAGAACAGGCGTTTAAGTAAATGTTTGAGCCATTTCACACCAGCCATAAATAACGAAGGGCCTGATCTCTTTAAAGACTGAAGGGAGAGGACCGACAGAAGTGTAATAATAGGTATAACATCATCGTCAAAAATTATAGTGTGGTCATAAATTATTTTGGTTGTTGAAATTACAAATATTTAGAGCTAGTATGTTTTTATGTCTACTCAACAAACAACTCTTTCTAGAATGTATTTTCTAGAGCTAGGTTTTTTTTTTTTTATGTCTACTGGACAAACAACTCTTTCTAGAATGTCTTTGGCTATAGTGGATACACAGGCAAGAAAAAGATAAACCGATGATTATGACCAAGGGCTCCATGTATTTGCTTGAGTCGCTCCCCTGCGCTCCATTGTCCTGATGAGGTAACGGTTGTCTCTGCAATCTGCTTCACTGCATACGTTCAGTTCATCCTTGTGCGTACAGTAAGAAAGGAGACCCTCCACAGGGAGAAAGTTCAGAGCTAGTCCAGAAATTCGCTGGACAGAGAGTTTTACTTGCTGAATCAGATTCAAAGCCTCCCCACAAATCTTGTGGGTAAAAGATTTGTGGGGAGAGCTGCTGATAAAAGCTGCCCATGCATGGACGGGACCCAGCTGAATCCCACCTTTGGGCTTCCTCATGATTCTGATCCTGTGTTGGGACTCTGGCCTGGGTTGCTTGCGCTGGCAGTGAGTTCAATCCGCATTGGTCTTTTAAATCAGTGGACTCCAAGAAACTCTCGTGTGGGCCTGGATGTGCGCAGAGGCTCTGTCTGGTCCAGAGACCCGCTGCACATTTTAATTCATTCACCTTTACGGAAGCAAACTGCATTCTGATATTCTGTAGTTTCAGGTGTGTATCATTGGAACACCTACCTCAGAGTCAGCGCTCGGACTCCAGTCCGCTGCGGTCCTGACTTTGTCTCCTCTACTCCATGTACCCACCACCTGCTGGGAATCACGAGCTGGTCTTACAGTTCAAAAGTTCAGTTTTGCTTGACGTAGTCCCTCCATTGTCTTCTCTACAGTACATTTGAGTGAAATCACATCATGTTTGTGTTTGTTTGTCTCGCTTATTTCACTGAGCTCCTTCTCAGTCTCCGGTGTTGCAGATGACAGGGTTTCATCATGTTTATAGCTGAGAGGATTCCACCCGGCGTATTCAAATCTCTTTTCCCCATTCATCAGTCGATGGATACTTCAAGTTCTTGAAAATTGTAAAAGTTGCATTAAACATAGGGGTACATTTATCTGTCCAAATTAATGTTTTTTTTTCTAAAGATTTATTTATTTATTCATACAGAACTGGGGTACAAGCCAGAGATGTGGAGGGTGGGAGGATTCACCAGAGACAGAGTGGGGAGCAGAACAGGCAGATAGACAAAGTACACTGCTGAGGGGAGCAGCGGGTGGGTCAGGAGAGGTCTGCCGCGCCATTTTGTTCACCTCCGGGGCAGGCGGGGATCGAACTCATGCAGAAGTGGCTTAAGCTTCTCAGTGCTGTGCTTTACCCCGCAGTGCCACCAGGGAGGGCCCAAATTAATGTTTTTTAACATGAGTGTTTGGGTAATTACCCAGAAGTAGGGTGCCTGTGTTGTATGACACTCCAATTTTCAGATTTTTTTGGGGGGGAATCTCCATAATGCTTTTCCATCACAGCTGCGCCAGATTACAGCCAACTCCACAGTGTAAAAGTTTCTCCTACCCTCTCCTACACGTACTTCTTACCTTTTGGCTAGTAGCCATTTTCACAGGTGTGGAGCAATAAGTCATTGTTTTTGTTTTGTGTTCTAATCATACAGAAGACAAGCATCTTATGCGTGAGGCACAAGTTTGTTTTCACGAAATCCTGGGATGGGGCAGGGGGGTGGGGGGCGGGAGGCAGAGGGGCCCTGACACCCCTACTGCTCATCATCTTGTTTCACCAGTAATAAACATTCCAGTCAGTCGCTCCAGAAGGCAGGATGCCAGGGCAGAGAGGGCCACCCGGAGCAAGCCAGGCAGAGGCCGGCGGAAGGCGCCGGGCGCTAATATGGAGAGGGAGCGGGCAGCGACCCAGAGCAGCAGGGTCAAGAGATGGGGAGACAGACTCGTGCAGCGGGGTTCCTCCTTGATCCCCCACCCACCTTGTTCGGGATGCGACCGTGAAGCAGCTGCAGCATCCAGACAGCTTGGGGTGTGGGAGGTGTGGGGGGTGTGCAGGGTTTTCCAGCTGCCCCGGGAGATGGCAGGAGCTGCCCGCACTGAGTCCTGAATGTGTGTTCTTGAAGCCCCTGGGGGGATAGTCCTCCCTGGCCTCTGCAGGCATTTGTGTTGGTGGCGAAGCGAGCGAGGGCGAGGCCCTGCTGTCCAGGCCATAGTCTGGCAGGGGCACACTTACCAGGTTAAACATCGCTCTCAGATGATAAGGTTGCCGCTACTTTAAATGGGACTGTGGGGGAGCCCTGGTTTGTGCTCCCAGAGGAGAAGTTAGGTGCCAGGGAGCGGACATCCAAAGGAGCCAGCCTGGGAGGGTAAGGAAGAGCTGGCTTTGCCTCTGTCCCTGCAAGCGCCCAGCAGTGCGGTCAGGCCGTTCAGAGGGCCAGCTCACGCACACGTGGCAGAGCCTGGGAGCCAGGGCCCTCCCGACTGAGGCTGCTTTGTCTTCCAGATCCGGGTCAGTGTAGAGGACCTGTCCGTTAACTTCCTGCTTTGATTTGAATGCCCCAGTAGAGAGAAATGAACAGTGCTAAACAGTAAGCCTGAGACATCTGCCCGCCTTACCCTGAGCCCTGGTAAAAGCAGGGCCCCAGGCCCCTGTGTCTGCTCCCTGCCCTCTTCCAGCTACCCACAGGGACTTGGGTGTGCTGGGCAACTTCTTCTGTTACTTGTAAGTAAGAGCCACCTACTGTCGCCCGCCCCCAGTTTCCTTTTGGTCAAGACTGCAGGGCACTGAGCGATTGCTGCTGCCTACTGGCTGCCTGCCCCCTCTGCTCTGGTGCCAGGCTGCCGTGCATTCGGGGTCAGGATAAATGAAGAGTTGTTCTTTCTAGCAAAACCGAAGCTTTTGGTTTCATTTTTTAAATTTATATATATATGTTTAAATAAAGAGTTATTTATTTGTGCACATAGAACTGGGGTACAGGCCAGAGGTGCAGGGGCGGTGAGAGG